ATCGAAATCGTTTAAATAATTAAAATTATTATCTAGGTATTACCTAGTTTTGTGAGACGTGTAAGCTAAATGTTTTAAAATATTGAAAATTAATAATAAAATAAGAGTTCAATTATTTCTAATGATTTGTAATACATTACACTATCATGGCCAGCAAAAAGAGTAATCATTATTTTCATTAAAAATAACGATTACATTCGAATTGTGTATATTTCCGGAATTAGTTAAACTACTATCTCGTTGTAATTAATTTACTGTACCAAAATATGCGAGATTTCAAAGTTGTAATTAACGGACTGCAATTACAATTGCAATGATTATAATAAAATTCTTCAAATCGACGCAATGCCATGAGCTCATATTTTTATTTTCTACTTCGGTTAGTAGTTTCGCATAAAAGAATGACAAAAATCTGTTGTCGCGAAATATTGGTTCTTTCGTGCCAGCCGACTGTTTAATGAATTTTGTTTTAAATGTATTTGCTTGTAAAAACTGAAACAATTCTGGTCTCAACGTAGAATGATTTTACAAGAAAAAAATATTTGAATCCAGACTTCGCAATATCTCGACACGTTATTATTTTGAAAATGATGAAGCTAATTTTTGGTTGTCAATTTTAAATTAAAGTCATATACAAAGCATTGTTTAGTACTTACAATTATAATGTATAAAATTGTTTCAACAATATACATTTAACATATTGTGTGCTATGTGCAACGAATTTACAAACATTTGTTTGGCTATTGTATATGGTATAGGCTATTCTCTAAATAATATCTATGGTAATGTTTCAATTTCTAGGGCTAGTAAAAAACATTTCTGATATTTATGGAAATAAGTACAAATAAATTTTGAACTATTCAAGACTAATGTGTTTGCATTGCAGCATTTCATGTATACGTATGTGTTTAATATTCAGTTATGCAACTTATTATGTTCATCTATTATGTATGACTTTATTTATAGATAAACTCATATCGCCTAGAAAGTATATTTCATTTATGATTTTTCAACTTTAGAAGAGATCAACAAAATGGTATAGAATACTGAGGATATGTGAAAATGTGAGAACAATGAGGTATACATATTATATTAAATGGTAATGGTTGTTAATAAGATAAAGTATTTCCGTTAATTATTAGTATTAATGATTAAAGTAAAAAGAATATCGAAAATGAATTATTGTTTAAATCGAAATATATATGTATATTAGGATGATATACTTATCCAGCTCTGCTGTGCACGATGAAAATATATTTCATACATCTATGACTGACTATATGAATATAAAATGTTCTATAGAGTGAGGATGCATAAAGTGTTTTTCTTTGCGACAAATCGAGGCACTGAAAGAGCCTTTTAGACTGCGACAGACGTCTAAAACCAAATCTATAATTATCCAATTTCCTTTGAAATATTCTTGTATGGTAATAAGCTCCACGTAAAACACAATCTAAGAAGAAGTTTGGTTTCAACCATTTGGCATATAATGGCAGTAATTTGAATTAGATTCTCCAATGATTTGCTTTCTTCTTAATCTAGACTGCGCAGATAAATGTTCGTTATTCTGCAGCCAAGGTTCTAAGTAAATGGTTTTGCGACGACTCTAGAATTATTCTTTGAATGAATTCACGACGAACAATACTTAGAGTTATAATACCTCCTAATTGGTGTCAGATCAGTGCGCTGCGGTCTCGCTGCAAGTATAAATTAATTAAATCGTCCGTAACAGAACACCGTTTTTCTGATAAAACACACCAAGTGTCGCACGTGGCAAAGCAAGAAGGTGCATATACAGTTTACGCTTTCCAAAATAAGACAATGACAATTAGAATCATTTGTATCATATTATTAATTACACATCGTTTGCGCTTTCGTTTCATTGTTAACATTAAAATTTTTAATTTACTATAAACTATCAACATCTCAAAAATATACATAGATATCATATACAGCATGTTTCATGTGATTAAATTGTTTGTAAATATTTTCTTCTTTTTAATTAATACATTATTTACATTCAAGTAAAGTACACTGTAAGCCTTTCAAGAATGACTTGAAGTATAGAACTATTCTTACTACCTAATTGTCACAGACTTGTTGCATTTCTTCTACCATATAATATGAAATTATGAAAGTA